GGGCAGTAATTAGGCTTGGGCTAAAATAGGGAGGGCAGGGCTTGTGTATTTAAAGCCCCCACTATCTTTTCCTCACTCATTGAAATATCACTTGAGATAAAGTGTCTTTGATTCTGGTTAAGTTTGGCCTTTGCTGCTTTTTATTATATAAGCTTTTTTATTTGATTGGCTCTTTTATTTATTTATTTAGGAAGCTTCTATGCCGCCCCATTCGCCGAAGCCTCAGGGCAGCTCACAACAATAAGGAAATAATCATATTATAAAAACAATATAATCTTGATTGGCAGGAGCTCCTCTCATACAGGGGAGGGGACCGGGGTGGTATCTAATGCCCCAGAAGGCCTTCTGTGTTTCCTGTTGTTGATGTCTGTACGTAGGGTCTTCATGCTCGGTGAGAGATCTTGAAAAATGCAAAGTGTGAGACTGCTCACAATGAGTTTATATGCATACACCCACCCACCCACCCACCCAGGGAGAGAAAGAGAATGAGAGAGTCACAAGTGAAATATGGCATCAAGGCCAGCAAGGTGGGTATGTCTGGCCATCTGTCAAGGACCCCAGTAGGGTCCCATTGAAGACACTCCTTTACTGTTGACAACCAGCTTGTTCATTTCCCTCCTTCCCTGGCCAGCCCAGTGGAGATGTTAAGAAGGGAGAGTAGAAGCCAGTGCCTACTTGCTCACAGGCTTTTGTCCTGCAAGAAACTGATAGCCATTATAAGGAGGAGGAAAAGCAACAGCAGCTGGGGACAATGGAGGAGGGAAGGTGGACTCCATGAGGCAGGGGCCCCACTGAGTGTGGGGACGGCACTGTAGGGAATGGGAGGGAAGCCAAAGTAGTGTCCTCGCTGTATTCTATGTGCCCAGAAGACAGTGTAAGAGAGAAACAGTTACAAGGCAGAATATTCCCTTTGCTGGATATCACATTTCTTAGAAAGCTTTCCCATTTTCCTTGTGTCCTTACTTACAAAGGTGCAAAGATGTGTGCGCACACACAGATGCACATGTGCGACATCTCCCAGCATGCCCCAGCCAGCGTAACTGGAAGTTGTAAACCTATTTTCTGTGTAAACATGCATAGGATTGTGTCTCAGGTGATGGTATATATGGCTGCTTTTAGACAGTACATTTATACTGCTCTGCTCGATGCAAACCTAATTTTTGACTGTTCAAGGCATGTGCATTTATCCTTAGTGTTATTAATTATTCATCTCTATAGAATGGATTAAAAAAAAAATCAGTACATGAACGTTTTGAAATGCCAAAAATGAAAGAAGCACTTCGTGTTATGCACACGACCTGGAGGAATGGCTGCATAAAACTAACACCACTTCCTTTCCTTTGCATCTTGGTGGGGGGTGTGCGTGCCCCTTGTGGAACACAGCAGGAACTAGTAGGGTTGCAGGAGCAAGGTATTTCCTCTCTTAATTCAATCTCTCTCTCCCTTCAACTTGTGAAGGGGTAGCATTAGTGGCACTGATAGGCAGGGATAATTTCCCCTCGCTATTGAAGGAGAAAGTCCTTTCCAGCTGAGAAACCCACAGGAACTCACCCATTGCCCGCTCTTCTTTTCTGGAGGTGAGCTGTTGCAAGTTATCCTAAATGTCCTTGGGTAGGCAAAGTAGTGTGACCCTTCATTGAAAGTAAAACCAGTTCGATTGTCCTAGCAATGGTCTGTGTGCCTCCTGCTTGAGAATCTTGGGTTTGAAGAATCCCATAGCTATGCCTATCCCTAAAAGCAATGATATTGAATACTAGCTCTGGGAGATGAGGTGTAATATCTGGAACTAAAACCAGCTGGCCACTGTGTATCCACAGCATTCCAAGATTGGAAAGATAGCACAATTTACTCTACCTTGTAGGCAAATGGGAGCACTCACAATTGCAGCAAGTCTAAATGGGTGATCCATGTGCTGGAATTTTCCATCTCTCTTTAAGATCACTGTTCAAATTACTGGGTGGGAGGGAGGAGGGGCTGTATTCCTAATTTTGGTAATATTTACCTTAGCTACTGTTTTTTGTTTTGCCTGAGAGCTACAATGGCATGATTTGGCTAAAATGGGAGTAAGTCGGGTGTAAGGCTTCTGCATTTCATGAAGCCTCTCCATTAGCTTTGCTCCATACTTTGAATGTTGCTAAGGGCACGATAGAACCCTTGTACAGTACTCAGCTTTCAAGGCATTGTACTGGTATTTCTGGTGGTGTTTCTGCTTTGTTTATGAATACTTGAATGCTACATAGTTTTAGACCCTCTTCTCTTGTTTGTTTTTGTACAGGGCATGTTATGATACATACAGAATTTACCCCTTTCATATAGATCGTCAGCTGATGCCGAACATTCTAATTACTCTGCCACAAGTGGATGCAGATTAGTCATTTAGAAGTATCTCCAATCTAGATCGCACAGAAACCCCCCTGGGCTCCCTTGTCATGTTAAATGTCCTTTTCCAATTGAGTATACAAAATAAAATTTACAGCACAAGTTAGTTTATAGAGAAAGAAAGCCTCTGGGCACATGGTAAAATTGTCCCTTTATATAGCTGAATGCTCCACATAGCACTTTGGCTTCCACATATTTATGTGAGTAAGAGAATTCATGTATCAAAGCACATTTCTGAAAAGAAAAACATAATTGGAACAAGGTGGCCAAGATTAATTTGTGTTATCAGATGTGGTTACCAAAGCAGTAAATCATTGTTGGACACAAGCACTTATCCATATTTCCATATTAATACACAGAGCTCACCAGCCCTATACATAATCATCATAGCACTGGAAGGTGAAAATAAACCTGGAGGCCCTCTAGTCCAACCCTGTGTATTTAGAATGGAATGTTTCAGTCTGGAGAATTAGAATAATTTAGCCCTTATCATTTAGATTGACTGTCAGTCTAATAAAGTCCACTGTGATTGCATATTATGGCCATTGTAAGACTTAGACTTCGAATATCAGATTCTGTCCCTTAGTGATGGCCTTTTTAAAAACTTTGCATCAGAGGAACTGTGGGAGACATGCTTAGCTATGGCTTACTTTTATTGCTGGGAATGTACTTTAGAAATTCTACACCAGCTTTCTCTTTATACAAGTTTAGGATTTAGCAAGAAGGATGGTTGCCAAGACATGACAACAGCTCTCTGAGATGGTTCACCTTGAAAAGGGGTTGGGGATGTGGACAAAAGGCAGGCCAATCCCATTAATTCCCCAAAGAGTGGGGAATGAAGGGAAGAAACTGACCAGATGAAATTGACTCCAGTCACCATTTACTTGGTAGCCATTACTGGTTTTGTTGCAGTAACCTCACCTGGAAGCATTCCAGAGCAATGCCTAATGACATCACGCCATTCTGATGGGGCCTTCTGGGGGTGGATCACTCCCTATCTCTTGCTATACTTCCTTATCTGGAATGGATCAGGATGAGACTTGTGCTGGCTGAAATAAGGTATTTAGGCCACATTTTTGGGACTGTCATGCTGTGTTGTGCACAGGTGCCCCACTTTGCTCTTTGCTGTTTGACTTGATCCTATCAGGATCTCGAGAATATCCTCCCAGCAGTATCCCTCAAAGGCAACTGCTTTGGAAACAAGTTAATCTAATACCTTTTGCTCATACTTCTGGAATGAGTCATTCTGAACCGGGGAGATTCAATGTGGACATATTTCAACAGAATGCAAAGTGGCACCTGAAATTATTTTGCGGTGCATTCCCTGGAGGAAGTATAGCAGAATGAGTAAATTCTTAACTTCTGCAATTCTTTCTTCCTTTCTAGTAGGTGCTGGTCCCTTTTATGATTTATTTATAAATCCTCATAAGGAATATTTTCATGTTACATCAGAATTAACTGGAAAGTTGTCAGCCAAGTATATTTATGGGTAATAACAAAACATATCTCAGTCACGCTTACACTGATAAGAGATTAGCATGACTTTCTAGGTAAAAATATATATTTACCAATGTCATAGCATTATTTTTACAATAGGATTTTGCTGCAAAATTAGCATAGCAACTCCATATATGAGGGCTGCATCTAGAGCCCGGCTGTCTCACAGTGTCCAAGACCAGAGGGAAAGGCAGTTTGCCCCTTTCTCTTCTCAATGAATGCAATGGGAGTGAAGCTATTTATTCCAATTCCAAACGATATATGGAGAGCCCTGATCCCATTGAGAGCTATGGCTCCAGTGGTTCTAAGACTGTTCTTGAGATGCTACTAAAAGGTTCTTTTCATGGACTACCACTGGCAGAAATACTCCTAGTGACACTGTCACAACCACTAAGCATTTTGAAGGTCTGTTGGTGACCTCTGATGTTGCCCCAGCAACAAAACTGGTGAGGAGCGCTTTCCTTCAGCTTCGGCTGATCCATCAGCTGAGTCCCTACCTGGAGAACGACTGCCTGGCGACAGTGACACACGCTCTGGTGACTTCCCGACTTGACTTCTGTAATGCGCTATATATGGGGCTGCCCTTGAAGACAGTCTGGATACTTCAATTGGTTCAAAATAGAGCTGCCAGGCTGCTGACGGGGACTGGGTGTTATGTTCACATGACTCCAATTCTCCGTCAGCTTCACTGGCTCGCTATTGAAGTCCGGGCCCAATTCAAGGTGTTGGTTATGACCTATAAAGCCTTTAACTGCTTGGGTCCTGGTTACCTGAAGGAGCATTTATGTCCATATATGCCCGCCCGCCCCTTGAGATCAGCGGGCGAGGCCCTTCTCCGGGAACACTCCGTGAAGGATATTAGGAGGGTAAGTATTTGGAGGAGGGCTTTCTCTGCGGTGGCACCCAATCTATGGAATGCGCTCCCCAGAGAGGTCCGCCTGGCGCCGTCGTTATTTGTTTTTCGGCGCCAGGCAAAGACCTTTTTATTTAAGTGTTATTTTAATTGTTAATATTATTTATTTATTTTATTCTTTGGCCAGGTCGACTCAAATTATATTGTTTTTATATTGTGATTATTTATTTATTGTGAGCCGCCCTGAGGCTTCAGGGAATGGGGCAGCATAGAAGCTTACTAAATAAACAAATAAAACTCTTGTCTCTCAGCAGAGGGGCATTTTATCTCCTCCTCACCTCTCTACATGCTGAAGCATCTAATTGCAAAGCTGATTAGGTGAAGGAGTTAATTCTAAGTCTGTAAAGTGGTATTTCTTCATGTTTGGGGGATAAGACAAATGTACATTTTCAGGCTTGAGTCCATGAGAGCAGTGTCCTGTTGAAACAACAACAAAAGCTCACAATCAAAAGCAAGGCAAACAATTCCTGAGGTAAAATCAGAGGGCAGATTCCAATGGGGCACTTGCAACCCCATGGATTGTTTTGCACTAGCAGCTTCCGCCACTTGTGCAATGTTAATTTGGCACTTCTGGCACAACCCAAAACAAGCAGGAATGTTCATTTCTTGAAGCAGGCGTGTCAGTAAAGTTCACACATGGGAGCGTCCTCTGACTTGTTCCCTTCCAGGAGTGAGCATTTCAGATCGTTTCAGGGTTTCATGTAGAAAGCACTTCATCTCCCTGGCATGAACGGTGAGTCCTGCTTGCACAGTGCAATTGGCAGGATGCACTCCTTGTGTAAGGAAATCAGCAAAGCAGAAAGCAATTGGCAACCAAGTAAGGGAGAACTCTAAATTTACAGCAGTCTCTCCTCATGTATGAGGGCTAAGGGGAATGCACTCTGGATTCTGCCCAATGAACCTAAATTAAATTGAGATTCCTGATTTTCTTATTCCTGGCATGCCGGGCTGCAAGGCTGAGTCAATTAACTGGTTATATTTAACTAAAAAGTGCCACTAATGAATCAGGAATCCAATTTTTAACTGCAATTATTTTTAAAACAAAAACTAATGAAAAATAAGTGGTAGGTACTATAGTGAAAAAATCATTTCTTCAAATGTTCATTTTTAAAGGGCATATTTGCTAATATATGCATTTCTGAACATGAACATAAGCTTGGGAATATGCTAGCATTTCCTAAAACTTTGCTTGTACCTGGTGGTGGGGTGAATGTGACAATTTGTACTCTGAAGCAAATGATTTCCCTCCTTTGAGCAGGATGTTTAAGACAAAAACATAATGGGGGCTTTATCATTTCATGAAAGAAGCATAAGGTCATGAAGTTTCAGAAAGGGCTCCTGATGACACTGCAAGAAGAAGTTTCAATGTAGAGGAAAATAATTCATTGGAATGCACCCTTGCTAAATACTGTCCATTAATACATGTTGTGGTTTGCTAAGTACTTGATTGCCCTTCCTTTAGTTCAGTCCTAGGTTGGCAGCAAAAACAAGTGTACTGAGTTCCTGAAGAGCTGCTACACATATCTTGCATTTGGTTCTCTGAGTCAAGAATTATGAAGTCCTAATGTGTGTACAATTCATTTAGTATCATTTTGCATGCTCACCATCTGAACCTTGTATGCAGTGGAAAAACAGACACCCAATCACATTTCCCCATATCTGTATTTATTTCATTCCATTTCTATGCCACCCCATAACTCGAAGGTCTGTAAATACCAGCCTGATCACTGTAGTCTCCATCTGAAGCCCTCCTTCTCCCCACAATGAAGTGAAGGGGGAGTTTGCAAGGAGAGGTTTTTTTTGAGCATAATGCCCACACTTTGGAACTTGATTCCATTGGAGATACGATTGGTGTCTGCCCTTCTGGCTTTTAGGTGCCAACTAAAGACACATCTGTTCCCCAGGTGAATTTGTTTTAATTGATGTTCTAATCTTGTTTTATGCTAATATGCTGCTGCCAATCTGTTTTAATGCTAGATCTTGATATGACTAATTTTAATGGTTTTTGTTTCATTTCTGGGTTATGTACATATATTGTTTTTCTTTTGTGTCGTTTGGTATGACTGAATTTTGACAGTTTTACAATATTATTGTTATTGGCACTGATTGTGTATTGTCATGTGTGCTTTGTATTGTGTTACATGTATGGATTTTAATGATGTGAGCTGCCCAGAGGACCCATGGCTAGTGGGGAGTGTACAAATCAAATAGATGTCCCAGTGCATATGCAATATATTGCAGGTGGTACAACTGTACATTAATGCATGCATGTGCCTGATAGGCTGAAACTTGCCCTCTTGTGTAGGGTAAGGAGAAACGCAAACCGGGAATGTGTGGATGTGCATCATTTTCTTACCACCCACTATGCTCCAGGAACAGGTGGGACATGCACACTGCCCAAGTATGCATACAGGAAGGATCCCTCATTTGCTGACTTGTGATACAGTCTTGGTCTCCCAGAATAATTACCTTTACTGCTGCTGATGAGCAAAGCATTGTCTGCTATTGTTTGTTTCCTTTCCTTCCTCTTTTTGCAGGAGACAGGTAGTCCATTAGGGTGGAGATGAGGTGCCCAGGCAGGCAGGCAGGCAGGCAGGCAGGACTGTGATTTGCAGCTTTAGCTGAAGCCCCTATAGAGTGTAGTTCAGGCTTTATAAAATAAAAACTAATAAGAATCATAACAATATTGTTTTCTGTCTGCAGCCCGCAGCAAGCCCAACGCAACATGGGAATTGACGAATAAAGGCCATCAACGTCTCTTGGCTCTGCCAGCCCATACCTCCCACTACCTGCGTTCTCCTCCTCCTGCTCTAAATTGTTTTGAAAACATTGCATCTCCCATGCCTATTTCATTTCTGCAATGAAGTCATCAAACATGATGACAGGGACTTTCCAAGAGTGAAATCAATCAGTGGCTTTCCCTTTTTGCTTTTTCTGCTCCGAGAGGAAATAGGTGAATAAATTCTAAATGAGGCAAAGGGGTGGCAGAAGCATAATGGACACAAGCAGGCTCTGTATGGCAGAATGCAGAGAAGGGAGAAGGCAAATGAAACCCCCAAAGGCACCATCCTTCTGTGATGCTGGGTAGAGCCCAAGTGGGTCATTTTAAAATAACAGTAGGGTTTACCTTTTCCAAACCACTATGTGCCAGCATGATTCAAGGTCCCTTCATCCAGTTGGGTATTTTCACATAATATTATATAACATCTAAAGTAAAACACATACATTTAAAATATTTCATGCATACAGATAAAATAGGAATATATAACATATATTAAATGCATCTATACAATAAGATGCATTTATATTTATGCATCTTTATGCAAATTCTACATATTTATGGAGAATAAATAAAACCCGTGAAAAAGGCTTTATTCTACAATCTTCCCATCATCTGGCATAAATTAGAAACTTGTAGAGTGCTGAATTTAGAACTCTGATAATCTCAGTAATGTCTGGCAAGGGTTTAAGGAGAAAGTACTTATCAAAGGGACAAGGTAGGTTAGGTGCATGGAAGCAGCCTAAATAGGCATGCAGTTACTGCGATGCCCCAGTGCAGTGTGTTTCCTAATTGCTTGCTTAGACTCGAGGTACGTGAGATCCTGTCTTGGTTTGTTTTAGAGAAAACAGGCAGGGTGGATATCTATGGAACATTGATATAAATAGCCTTCTTAGGTGCATAGTACAATATAAGTTCAGACACGGCGGTTGAGGAAATTAGAACACTCTTCTGGGATTCATGTCTTTGCAAAGGTAACCACTACTAAAGATGACATCCAGATTTGAACTGGAATACCTAATCTGAGACAGTCTGTAGAATTTATTAATACAAGTATTCCTAGCTGCCAATCAACTAAAAGTGCTAATTAATTTCATAGAACTTTCCACATGTTGCATTTTATTATTTTTAAATGTATTTTAACTGTTCTATGGTGTGTTATTTATTGGGAAGATTAAAAATAAAGATTAGAAATATATTAGTATGCAATATCAGTTATGTTTCTCTGACTGCCATATCAGACATATAGCATATAATGGAGTTTAATATTCTCTGTTTTAATTTTTGCTTTTATTTTGATATTATGTAGTTATTTATAATAAATATTTTATCATCTCCAAGACATTTGGAAGTAGTGGGATTGAAGGTGAAGTAACTGGTTGAACAAAGGTAGAAATAGAATACTATGAACCACAACAGAAGAAAACAGATTCTTGAAATGAGCAGAAGCTGCACAACAAAAGCAAAGGGCTGAGAACCACAAGCTGTGAGATCACCTTTCTAAAAACTGATCCTTATGATTCCAGACTTGGCAGAGGCCTGCACAAGTCTGAATCTTTGCTCCTGCTATTTGTGTGAAAGCTCTTCATGTTGTGCGTATCTGTTACTAAAAAGAAAATTCAAGGCATTACCTAATTCTCTTTGTTTTGAGGTGCCAAGCCCTTTATTGATGTCTTTTGAAGCACTGGACTGTGACAAGTACTGCAGGTAATATGTTTGTCCTTACAGTCTTTGACTCAGAATCAATATGTCTGTGCAGACGAGCAAGCTGATACTTCTTGGCTTCAGGGGAAAAAAAGAGTTAATAAAGAACCATTATTTTAATAACACGTTTAGTTGATTGGCAAAACATGTAAATAAAAACTGATACCCCTGAAAGCCCTCCTGAAAATTTGTACTTGATGTAGCCAAAACGCTGTACCACAGGCAAGAAAATTGAACCTTTCTGGAAATAACATTTTTTTCACTATTTTATGTAATAGATTTATTTTTCTTGGAGGTCATAAATAAATCAGATTTACTTTCAAAGGCCCGTTCCAGAAAGCCAGTGCATTGGCAATCAGGCTGTGAGGATGGAGCAGAGTGTGCGTAATGAAGCTCTGATATCACAGTCTATGGCCTTATACAAGTGCCAGGAGAAGCCAAGCCAGGATATCACACTGGTGTTGGTATACCAGCACCAGCTAGCGTCTCTCCAGAGGCAAGATACATTTCTGTATGTCTGTGTTACAGTACACTATTAGTATGAAAGGAGATCTGGAAGGGGAAGTGGCAGGGATGATACACCTAGTTCCACAATATTAGTAGGGCTTTATTCTATTCTTCCACCATGTAGTAAAGAACAAAAGCTGATCGAACTTTAAAACTTCATCTTCTTTCATTACAAAATACAACTTTCTGGTCCTTAAATTATTATATGCTAGAAAGTGATTTGTCAAAATTTGGCAAACTATTATAACTTGGAATGAGAATAGGCACTGATTTCCAGACACCACGGGGCCCTCACAGCCCTTCCTAGTTCTTACCTTGTTCCCAGTAGCCAGAAAAGTACCATAATTGTGAAATGAACCAATTTGGGATATCTTGAAAAGATCTGAAAGTGGTTCTGTATGAACCAGGATGTCTCAAGTCAAGCTCCATTTGTGCATATAGATCAGTATATTGTACTTCCTTCATTTCTATATCGCTCCATGGCTGAAACTCTGGGTGGTGTTCAATAACACACAAAACCAAAATGCAATACAAATATAAAAATAAAGGATGAAAATAAAATTTAAATAACTAAAATATACAGTTAAACTGACCTGTAAAAGGAAATAATAAACGCACCCAGGAAGGGTCATTCCCTCAAGCCCTAGGGAGCTGAGCACATCTTTAAAAGCTGCAGCACAAAGGGCCATCTTAACTTGAGGCTGAAGAAATGGCAAATTTGGTGCTAGGTAGACCTCTGTGGTGATGTTGTTCCACAGATGGGAGGGGGCTACCACAGATAAAGCATGCCTGCTTATTGCCAGCCTTCAAGCATCCCCTGGAGTTGGCACTCAGATAGAGGCCCCGAAGTTGGACATAATGTCTGCCTACACTGCAGCTGGGAGAGGTGCTCTGACAGATCTCTTTCATGTTTCTGTCTTGTCAGTCAACAGAAGAGCTTCTGTAGAGATGTTCAGGCAATATTAAACACCCTTTTTGATTTTGTATTTAATTTCATTGGCCTGAACATCATATACAAATGTGTATCTGCCATCATACGTTAAAAAGGGGGGCATATATAATACCTCTACAACCTTGATTTATTGGGAATTGGGCTGTGGGAGGGAGCCTATTCAATAAGAATATGGGTCAAAGATCATCCATCAGCAGGCATTCCCAGATGGAAGCATCAGGAATGTTTGGCTCGCTGATTATATCCTGACTGGGATACAGGCAAAGGGACGATACACTTGAAGCAAAATCATGTGACACACTGCATGGAAAATGTTGTTGTTTTTAAAGCTCCTTTAAGTGTGGGCCTTTTCAAGGATATGATGGCCATTTTTCCAACTGGGATGATGATGATGATGATGATGATGATGATGATGATGATGATGATGATGATGGAACCCTTTGCAACATAAGTCACTTGGTTAGTGTGTAGATAATGTAGAGTAATGTTGGTCTCTATCTCCTGAAAGCACATATTCTTCATAGGTTCTTGATACTGAATGCTTGCACAATAGTTTCTAGCCAATGTGTGACTGCCCCACACAATTCATGCAGCTCCTTCAGGCCAGAGAATGTAGAGTACTACCTGCTTTCTTAAGTGTTTCGCTTCTTGGGATCTGCATGTAGGCCAGTGTCGCATTAGAACTGTTCTCATTCCAAGTCTTGCTAGTTCTGAGTTAAGAGTTAAGACGCACCCTAAAATTATTCTTCTTGACATATCAGAACAAGAAGAGTAAGAGTTACAGATAAACATGAGAAAAAATCCAAAAAGAGGTAAAAATATGTCACATGGACTAGGGTTCTTTGATGCCTAGAAAACAATCAAGCAGCAGCTCCTCATATCCCAAAGCAGTGTTACTGTTTTTGAGCTACTAGAATAAAATGCTAAATTTGCCCGTCTCACATGTTTGTACAGCCAGTCATGCAGTACAGCGGGTTTTGTACAGACCTGCTGCTTCTCTGTGTGGTGGTATCTTTTCAGTGACATGAGTACCCAAGATGTACACATTCAAAATATAGCCTTCAGGGATCATGTGGAGTTGCATGAGTCAGAACAGATGGAGGTGAGATGCCTTGAAAGGGATGCAAAAAGTTATTAAAGTTTAGTGTTTTTATCTCCTCTTCTCAATGCATCATTTATTACACTGGGAATGTAAACCACCCCAGTTAATACCCAGGATTGTAGAGCAAAGGACCAATTACAAAGCTATGCAACAGTTACTTCTACAGAAGGCTGTAGATGGGCCTGAGTTGTGTTGCCTTCTCTCTCCAGGTGGTTTTGCTGAGTTCTGGTAAAACATCATAGTCCATTATTATTAGGTCTCTCACCTCCTGGCCTTGAATTCACAGAGCAGCAGCATAAAAATTAATTTGGTGGATCTCAGGCTGTACAGTTGCCAGCTACCTCCACTGATTCCCCATCTGCAAGGCAACAAATTTTCATTTTAAGTATTTTCTATTTGATCTGCTCTTTTCTCTCCTAAGAGAATTGAGGTCAGTGAGCTGGTGTTCAGCAGCAGCAACATTGCAACAGCCGTTTTCTAAATGCCCTAGGTGAAATTTGCAAATGTGACGGCAACGTTAGGCTCTGGTTTCTTGAACTGCCTCACATTGATTGATTGATTGATTGATTGATTTGTTTAAAACATTTTTATGCTGCCCCCTTCGCAACAAACCCTCGAGGTGGCTCACAACAGAAACAAAATACATACATACATAAATAATAACAATATAACAATAAAAAATTATTTAAAAACCCCGGTGCATCTCGGCTAAAAATTTAAAATCCTATAAATACAAATAATTTAACAATTAAAATAAGTTTTAAATAAAAAGGTCTTAGCCTGGCACCAAAAAACAAATAACGACGGCACCAGGCGGACCTCTCTGGGGAGGTAGTTTAATGGTAGTTTATCAGCTGGATTGGTCATATTCCTATGCCTATCTTTTGAGTGTCCCTGCACATCTGAAAGTTGTATCAATGTGGGCAGGGTCCCTATTCCCAAGTGGTCTAATTATTTTCCATAGTTTTCATATTTTATCCAATTATTTCCCATAGCTCTCATATTTATGGTTTTTTTCTGGCAACCATAGTAAAACTTGGCCAGAGATGTATGTGAAGGGTGAGTATGTTTCTGGCTGAGAAGTGGAAAGGGAGTTTTTTAAAGGCTAGATTGAAGGTATTAATGTTGACACTTTCTTTTAGGAACATAAATTCCTAAATCTAAGCTGCAGGTTCAACTGTGTTATGTTGTAACTTCTGGAGAAATGGATTTCTGTGGGTGATCCCACACAACCACAGTTCACGCATGGTTACATTGCATCATGCATTTTTGGATGATTATATACCATAGAATCCAGCCTTGCCATGCATCCTGTCAGCTTCCCTGTCCTTTCTCCATTCTTGGCTATGGTGTTCAGCAACAGCATCTGATCGGTCCACTGACATCCTCCCAGGTGTACCTGTATGCGTCCAGTGCTTCAGAGCTGCTCCAGCCCCTACATATAATTTTATTAAATCAAAATAAACAGTTTAACTCTGATTCCCCCCTTCTCCCTCCCTCCAAGCTAAGCTGCAATTAGGTCTGAGAATGCTCAGGAATGCTGCCAGGCCCTTTTTATACAAAGTATGCAACAATTGCAAAGCCTGCAGGTCACATTTGAGGAAGCCAATCTCTGTTTGCACAGGTGGCATATGTGGAAGCCAGCCTTGTGGACTCCCTTGGGTTTGCTTCCTGCCAGATGCCCATGTGAACCATCGGCACATGGTGGATTTAGGGAGAGAGAAAACATGCCAGAATCCAGAGACCTGAGCTAAGGAAATCGGATGGATTCCTACTCCCAAACCGGATCCCGTGCACTTTACTACTTCCACCTCTTGCAAATAGAGCAGGAATTACCCTGCCCTGTGCACAGTATGAACACAGTTCTCTTCACAGTTCTCTACTTGTATCTCCCACCTTTGCCTTTAGTCTGCTTAGTTTCACTTCTACTGATGTTTCCAAAGCAATAGCATTGGTAGCTAAAACAAAGCCTCCAAGTGTTTATCTTGCTAGAATGGAGCAAAGCAATCATAGCCTTTTTGTAAACTAATTTAAAGCCGTCTTCTCAAATCCTAGTTGGTGGATCAGATCAAAAACCATAATAAACTCTGTCTCTTTGCAAGTTAAGATAAATATTACTAAGATGTCATATAACAAGAGATTTACTAGTGTGTGTGTGTGTGTGTGTGAGAGAGAGAGAGAGAGAGAGAGAGAGATCAGGAATTACAGAGTAGAATCTGATCTCCTATGGACACAATCCTATGCATGTTTAGAGAGAGAAAAAAGTCCAACAGCATGGTTGAATGGAGAATGCTGCAGTAGTGGGATCTCTTTTCTGTTTAAAAGAATAGTTGCTTGGATTTTTAAAAGTTCATTTACCCAGCACAACACTATGGACTCTGGTTTTAGTTTTAGTATATATTATCAAAGTATTATTTGAATTAACTCAAGTAACTCAGCTCTGCCCTATTTTTTCTTGCTGATACATCCATCATGGGTTAAGAAAGTAGAGTGTAGAGACTTCATGGAAAGGAAAGAAGCATAATTTTTATGTTTTGGATGTTCAAAATATGCTTAGTCTGGCCCATGCTGCTTTTATAAGACACTTAGAAGATCATGGATGGTTTTTGTTATACTTGCAAGCTGTGTCCTCACAAAGTTAGATTATCACAAATAGATCAGGAAGTTATGTGTTCTCATAAAACTTTGGGATTTGATTCGGTTTTCATTGACTCTGGGATATACTTAGGGAGTCAACAAACTCGCATTTGAGGGTATGCCTGCACCATATGCTAATTCTCTTATATCTGGTGCAGGGTTGATTTACTCCTTTCAGTTCACTGTAGCAATGAATTAAATATTAAGCATTTTCTACACTTCACTGTCTAATGTAGAGAAAGCAAGGCATTTATGGAGAATGCAAAGCAAATATGGTGCTTGTTGAAGAGCCTCAAACACTGTACTGAACAGAGTCATGAACAAGACTTGACAGTCAATGCCGTAGAATGGATGGCATCTCATCAAGTCAAGAAGTATGGGCCAGCAAAGATAGTTTATTGAATGAATTTGTTGTAGCCAAGGCCAACACTCCCAAGAAGCAGGCTGAAGTGCCCACATGAAGTGGTAGAGCTGGAAAAGTGGTGGATTCTGCTGATCACCCCCATACCAGATCAAATAACCTACTGCCACTCCCATCAGATGCCCTGGACAGCCACTTTCCCACTACAGCAAGAAAGCAACTGGAGGGACTCTTCTGATATATCAACACATAGCAGGCACCTTGTGAGATCTTGGCCATGTCCTGAGATCTCATAAGAGCCTGGATCCATTAGGATCTCAACTCTCCTTGCTGCTGCCTTCATTCCCAGCCTGAAGAGTCCCACGCTCAGGACCCACAGGTCAACAGTGTACTTTCCAGACTGGGACTAACAGCAGCTAGGAGGGAGGATTGTGCCATTGTGGTACAAGTTCTTCTGCTCCAGGCAGCAACAGAGCTCATGCCAGGCCCAATGGTAAGTCATATTCAATGGCAGCAGAAGCATTCAGTTGCAGGAGTAGATAGATGGGTTTTATTTGGCAGCACTTGTGAGGCTGTGCATGTTACATGGGATAGCATGTGAGCTCCCCCATCCTTTGTATAATTGCAGTGTGATAAGACAGCATGTGCTCTATTAGTCTAATTCTTTATGTGAAGTATACACTACAAATTTTATGTGTACTTTTTGTTGGTGGCAGTAAGTGTTATATCCTTAGCACTTATTGCCTGCAAATGTTATGTACAATACACTACATATGTGACAATTTCAGCAGAATTTTGTCAACAATATTGGTAAGTATGTAAACCAGACAGTTGAACTCTGATGCTTTTAACAGAGCAGGGGAATTTGCTGTTTCTTCAGTACACTGATTCCCATATATTGTAGGGGTAGATGACACAGGTCAGATGTAAGATTTTAGGAAAGAAGTTGGTGCAGTCTAGATGCATGATCAATGTCCTGTCTTTCAACTTAGAACTGGCCCATAGGGGGACACATCTAGCAGCATAGACACTCCTGATTGTGTAATTAATAATTCCTAATGCAAGTACAAATCTCATATGTACTCTAAGAATGAATCCCTAAATTTCTATTATGAAGAGACCTTCTGAATCATAAATAGGTTGAAAGGCTATTTGAATTTAATCTCATTAACCCAGACACAATTCAGCCCTGGTTTAAGTCCACTGTGTTCTGGGGCTTCAGACAAGCCTATCTTTCTTTTGGGTTGCAGCATCGGCCACTAAAGTCATTGAGATTTAAGCGACAGTATCCAAATGTTTGTGGAACATGTTGTAAGACTTGTTACATTCAGGATAGTGAAGCATTTCTTCCCAGATCTATGTCAGCTTTAAACAAGGGTAAAGTATAAATATATCTCCAGTTATTAAAACATATAAACATATACTATGCTAATATTTCAAAAGAAATAGGCTCAGCTCATGTTGTTAATTTGGCATTTCTTGAATAGGATGCTTTTTAATCTACATTACGTTTGGAAATAAATCACAAGAGCTCCCTGGTTCATTAAGGTTGTAGTTATTATTAATGTTTACATAGCACCTTGTTAGCTTAAAAAACCCAAAACAATAATTGCTACCGAAAAATTTGAAAAATGTGTTTGTTTGGTGCCAGCAGCAGCTCCAAAGTCACAAGTGCAACTTTGGAGGTGGCCCTGGGGAGGCAGGGAAGGGGAGGCAACCCCCACCCCTCCCCTGCCAAACATTCAGATGGCCTAATCTGGCTGCCCAAATGTTTTGGCAGGGGAGGGGAGAGATCCTTGCCTTCATGTTCCTCCTGCTTGCCATGAGTTGCCATAATGCTCTGTGTTCAGAAGGTAAGGGGCAACCGCACATGTGTAGTTTCCCGGATGCTGATGTGGGATGCTCTCACAGTGGGATTAATTATCAGAAAATCAAAGAAAAATGGTGGACCAAATCACCACTGCCACTAAAGTGAGATGATGATGATGATGATGATGATGATGAAGAAGAAGAAGAAGAAGAAGAAGAAGAAGAAGAAGAAGAAGAAGAAGAAAATATTAAAAGGTTTTTTCAGCTCTGCACAGTGTTTTATATACTGAATGTGTATATGGGAAACAGACAAAATAATAGACAGTTGGGTACAAATAGATGGATAAAGACGTGACTGTACGCACAAAACATGATTCATAGCTCTGATACATTTCTAAGTTTCTAACTCTGACGAGTGTTGCCTCTCCAGAGTGGCTCAAGCACACACTGATGCTTGCCACATACCCTAAACACTTCACAGTGCTGCCTGTATCATCATCACCCATAGTTGTTATGACTGCCAAGAGTGAGCAAGAGCTGCAATCTATGAGCTCCCTTGCTCTTAATCAGACATCTCTTTTAGCTCCGAGACGAGTTATGCACTTTTAAGAAAATGTGGGTTAAAAATTGTGACCTTATCTTTTAAAATATGGCAATTTGAAAAGCTACTTTGAAGAGCAAAAATGTTTTGATTCTGTTTACTTTTAATACATGCATAACTTGTGTAATGTATGAATTTTATGGTAAGATATAACATCA